GACTTGTGAGCTGGGATCAGGAATGGCATCAGGATGTAGAATGGCATTGGGATTTGGGATTGGCATCAGGACTGGGGGTTGGGAATGGCAGCAGGATTTGGGATTAGGATCAGGAACGGCATCAGGATTTGGGATTTGTGATGGGGATTGCCATCTGGATTTGGGATCAAGAATGGCATTGGGATTTGGGATCAGGATTTGGGATTTGGGATCGGGAATGGCATCAGGATTTGGGATTTAAGATCAGGATTTAGGATTTGGGATCAGGACTTGGGATTGGCATCAGGCACCAAGATTTGGGATTGAGATCAGGATCAAGATTTGTGACTTGGGATCAGGAATGGCATCGAGATTTGGGATTGGGATTTGTGATTTGGGATCAGGAATGGCATCGGGATTTGGGATTGGGATTTGGGATTTGGGATCAGGAATGGCATCAGGATTTGGGATTGGGATCGAGATTTGTGATTTAGGATCATGAACGGCGTCAGGACTGAGGATTTGGGATCAGGATTGGGATTTGGGATCAAGAATGGGATCCGGACCCCCCCGAGGGCAGGGCGAGCTCCTGGAGGATTGGGGATCCTTTTAGAGGAACAGGGATTGGGAATTCTGGGGTTTTATCCCCAAAATGTGATCCTGGAGATGCTGGAGGGGATTGAGGAGATCCAGAGGGAATTCCTGGGTTTTGCTCCTGTTTTTTGGAAATGTTGGACAGGTTTGGGATGATCCAGAGCGAATTCCGGGGGTTTTATTCCCAGTTTTTGTGACTGGGAAATGCTTGGAGGGGACTGGGATGATCCAGGGGTATCCCAGAGCTCCTGGAATCCAAGGGAATTTTGACCCCCACCCTGAGACATTTTTTGGGATCTCTTCCCAAAATTTGTGCCCTTTTGGGAGGGAAAATTGGGAAGGAAAATCGGGAAAATCCCCCCCAAAAAAGCCCCAAATTCGGGCCATTCCCAAACCCCACCCCACCCAGAATTCCCGGGAAAACCCCCCAGGATCATCCCCCAATAAACCAAGTTCCACCCCCGGCTCTGTATTTTGGGATTTTTTTGGGATTTCCCGCCTGTTTTGGGGTTTTTTGGGATTTTCACCCCCCCCCAACCCAACCCTCCCCAAATCCATGAATTCCCAAAATCCCGGAATTGCGGGATGAGCCCCCAAAAAGAGGGCGGGTGACGAATGCAGAATTCCTTTAATTAGAAAACAGCCGTTAACAAAAATTCCACCACGGGGAAAAACGAGGGGAAAAAAACCAAAAACCGGGAAAAGACGGAAAAAAAAACAAACCCCAAAACCAAACCCAGGAAACACCAGCGAAAATTCCCGGCCGGAATATCGGGAATATCCCCCCGGAATTCCAATCCCCCCCCGCAGCTCCCTGAAAGATTTTATTGCACTTAAGAAAGAAAAGCGACCCCCGGGAATTCCCCGGGAATTCCGGGAATTTTTTGGGGAATTCCGGGCTGGGAAATCCCCGCTGGAATCGCTGGATTTCCCCTCCCCCACACCTCTGGAAATTTGGGATGGCCGAGGAATTCCAGCCCCTCCCTCTCCCACCTTTTCCACCTTCCCCCCTTCCCAGTTTTTCTGGATCCCAGCCCAAGGATTTGGGATTTTCCTGCTCCTTTCCCACATTTTCCTGCTGCTTTTCACAGTTTTCCACCCCAATTCCCGCTCCTTTCCCACTTTTTCTTGTTCCCAACCCAAGGATTTGGGATTTTCCTGCTCCCTTCCCACTTTTTCCTCTTCCCAACCCAAGGATTTGGGATTTTCCTGCTGCTATTCTCAATTTTTCCAGCAGTTTTCCCATTTTCACACTTTTTCACCTCAATTCCAGCAGTTTTCCCACTTTTTCACCCCAATTCTGAACACCCGGGAATGCCCCGAGTCCAGGAATGTCCTTTGGAATTTGGGAACTTGGGATCTCAGAACCCCCAGAAATCCGGGATCCCAGGACCCCCGGGAAAGACCTCAGCCCAGGAACACCCTCTGGAATTTGGGAATTCAGGAATTTGGGATCTCAGAACCCCCAGAAATCCGGGAATTTGGGATCTCAGAACCCCCAGAAATTCGGGATCCCAAAACTCCCAAGAATGGCCTGAGCTGGGAACGCCCTCTGGAATTTGGGATCTCAGAACCCACCAGAAATCCAGGAATTCAGATCTCAGAAGTCCCAGAAATCCGGGAATTTGGGATCTCAGAACCCCCAGAAATCTGGGATCCCAAAACCCCCGGGAATGCCCTCAGCCTGGAAAACACCCTCTGGAATTCGGGAATTCAGGAATTTAGGATCTCAGAACCCCCAGAAATCCGGGATCCCAAAACTCCCAGGAATGCCCTCAGCCTGGGAATGCCCTCTGGAATTTGGGATCTCAGAACCCCCAGAAATTTGGGATCCCAGAACTCCCGGGAACGCCCTCTGGAATTTGGGAACTCAGGAATTCGGGCTCTCACCGTGCTCGGCCGCGCACGTTCCCGATTTCCCGTCGCCCTCCGGGCCCGGCTCCGGCAGCGCCCGGGCGAAATCCGCCTTGAGCCCGTTGGGAAGAGGAGAATCCCGGGAGGGGCTCCCGCACGGAATTCCCTCGGAGGCGCCGGCCCGGCGCGGCCGCAGCTCGGGAACGGCCCCGGATCCGACGGGAACAGCTCCAGATCCAACGGGAACGGCCCCGGATCCAATGGGAACGGCTCCAAATCCATCGGGAACGGCCCCGGATCCAACAGGAACAGTCCCAGATCCATCAGGAACAGCTCCAAATCCATCGGGAACGGCCCCGGATCCAACAGGAACAGTCCCAGATCCATCAGGAACAGCTCCAAATCCATCGGGAACGGCCCCGGATCCATCGGGAACGGATCCAAATCCATCAGGAACGGCTCCAAATCCATCAGGAATGGCCCCGGATCCAACGGGAACGGCCCCGGATCCAACGGGAACGGCCCCAGATCCATCGGGAACGGCCCCGGATCCGACAGGAACAACCTCAGATCCATCAGGAACGGCACCAAATCCAACGGGAACGGCTCCAGATCCATCAGAAATTGTCCCAGATCCATCGGGAACAATCCCAGATCCATCAGAAACGGCTCCAGATCCGTCGGGAACAGCCCCAGATCCATCAGAAATTGTCCCAGATCCGTCAGAAATCGTCCCAGATTTGTCAGGAATGACCCCAGATCCATCAGGAACAACCGAAGATCCCTCGGGAACGATCCCGGATCCTTGGGGAACAGTCTCAAATCCATCGGGAAGGGCCCTGGATCCATCAGGAACGGCTCCAGATCCATCGGGAGCATCTCCAGATCCCTCAGGAACGGCTCCAGATCCCTTGGGAACGATCCCAGATCCTTCAAGAACGGTCACAGGCCAAGGAAATCCAGAGGATTTGGCCCCAAAAATGGATTTTTCCCACTGGGGAAAGACCCCAAAAATGTGGGAATTGGATGCTGGAGATTCCCAAAATTCCTGGAGCTGGCAATGATCCATTGGCCCAAAACCTCCCAGGGTTTAATTCCTGGGAAAATTGGCAAATCCAAGGAAAAACCTGGAAAAACTTGGAAAATCCATCCTCACCTCAAACCTTTCCCAGCAAGAACCAAGCCCAAAATCCCAAACCCCAACACCTCAGGGGCCATTTCCCACTCTGGGAATGCCCCAAAATCCTGGGAATCTTTGGGAATTCTGGAAATTTAGTAAATTTTTCGGGAATTTTCAGGAATTTCTGGGAATTCTGGGCCGCACCAAGTCCTCCTTGTGCTCGTGCTCCAACCCCAAACTCCCAACACCTCAGGCGCCGTTTCCTGCTCCAGGAACGCCCCAGAACTGCGGAGATTTTGGGGAATTCCTGGAATTTTCTGGGAATCTCGTGGATTTTTTTGGGAATTCCAGGAATTTTTTGGGTATTTTTGGGAATTCCGGGAATTCCAGGCCACACCACCTCCTCACTGAGCTCGTGCTCCAACCCCAAACCCCCCACACCTCAGGCGCCGTTTCCCGCTCCAGGAACGCCCCAGAACCGCGGGGATTTTGGGGAATTCCTGGAATTTTCTGGGAATTCCCAGAATTTTTTGGAAATTCCAGGACTTTTTCAGGAATCCTGTGGATTTTTGGGAATCCTGGGCCACACCACCTCCTTCTTGGGCTCGCCCTTCAACCCCAAACACCTCACACCATTTCCCGCTCCGGGAACGCCCCAGAACCGCGGGGATTTTGGGGAATTCCCAGAATTTTTTCGGAATTCCCGTGATTTTTCTGGGAATGTCGGGACGCACCGCCTCCTTCTTGGGCTCGCGGTCGAGGTCGAGGCGCAGCAGGGAGTGGTTGACGCGCAGGGCCAGCGACAGCGCCATGAGACCCCCGGTCTTGATGTCGTTCTCGCGCAGGTCCAGGCGCAGCAGCCGCGGGCTCTCGGCCACGAACTCGGCCACGGCCACGGCCCCTGGGGAAAAACGGGAATTGGGGGAAAAATCCCAGAAATTTGGGGAGAAAATACGGGAATTTGGGGAAAAAATACGGGAATTTGGGAAAAAAAGTCCCAGAAATTTGGGGAGAAAATACGGGAATTTGGGGAAAAAAATCCCAGAAATTTGGGGAGAAAATAGGGGAATTTGGGGGGAAAATATGGGAATTTCGGGGAGAAAATCCTGGGAATTAGCGGGCTCTGGGCCATGGCCCCTGGGGGAAAACGGGAATTGCGGGAAAAAATCCCAGAAATTTGGGGAGAAAATAGGGGAATTTGGGGGGAAAATATGGGAATTTCGGGGAGAAAATCCTGGGAATTAGCGGGCTCTGGGCCATGGCCCCTGGGGGAAAACGGGAATTGCGGGAAAAAATCCCAGAAATTTGGGGAGAAAATAGGGGAATTTGGGGGGAAAATATGGGAATTTCGGGGAGAAAATCCTGGGAATTAGCGGGCTCTGGGCCATGGCCCCTGGGGGAAAACGGGAATTGCGGGAAAAAATCCCAGAAATTTGGGGAGAAAATAGGGGAATTTGGGGGGAAAATATGGGAATTTCGGGGAGAAAATCCTGGGAATTAGCGGGCTCTGGGCCATGGCCCCTGGGGGAAAACGGGAATTGCGGGAAAAAATCCCAGAAATTTGGGGAGAAAATAGGGGAATTTGGGGGGAAAATATGGGAATTTCGGGGAGAAAATCCTGGGAATTAGCGGGCTCTGGGCCATGGCCCCTGGGGGAAAACGGGAATTGCGGGAAAAAATCCCAGAAATTTGGGGAGAAAATAGGGGAATTTGGGGGGAAAATATGGGAATTTCGGGGGGAAATATCCTGGGAATTTGCGGGCTCTCGGCCACGAACTCGGCCACGGCCACGGCCCCTGGGGGAAATGGGAATTGGGGGAAAAAATCCCAGAAATTTGGGGAGAAAACACGGGAATTTGGGGAAAAAAATCCCAGAAATTTGGGGAGAAAATAGGGGAATTTGGGGGGAAAATATCCTGGGAATTAGCGGGCTCTCGGCCACGAACTCGGCCATGGCCACGGCCCCTGGGGGGAAAACGGGAATTGGGGGAATTCCGGGGGGAAATCTGGGAATCTGGGGGAAAATCCCAGAAATTTGGGGAGAAAATACCGGAATTTGGGGGCAAAATATGGGAATTTGCGGGCTCTCGGCCACGGCCCCTGGAGGGAAACGGTAATTGGGGGAAAAATCCTGGGAAATCCAGGGAATTGTAGGGAATTCCAGGGAACTGGGGAAAAAACTTTCCCAAGCCCAACTTGAATTTCCCAAGCCCACCCGAACTTTCCCAAACCCATCCCAACTTCTCCAAGCCCATCCGAAATTCCCAAACCCTCCCCAACTTTCCAAAGCCCATCCCAACTTTCCTAAGCCCAACCTGAATTTCCCAAGCCCACCCCAACTTCTCCAACCCCAACCCAACTCTCCCAACCCCATGCCAACTTTCCCAAATGCATCCCAGTTTTCCCAAGCCCAACTTGAATTTCCCGAGCCCATCCCAACTTTCCCAAGCCCATCCCAACTTTCCGGAGCCCATCCCAACTTTCCCAACCCCATCCCAACTTTCCCAAGCCCATCCCAACTTTCCCGAGCCCATCCCAACTCTCCCAAGCCCATCCCAAATTTCCTGAGCCCATCCCAACTTTCTGGAGCCCATCCCAATTTCCCGACGGGTAGGGCTAAAGGGCTCCCCATCCCGGCCCCCCGGAATTCCCGGGACGGGGCTCCGGGACCTTCGCAGGTGAGCTTGGTGCAGGCCAGGCCCAGGCGCAGCACGGAGCGGTTCCCGATCAATCCGTTCTTCAGGTTCCGCACGCCCTCGTTCCCCACCGCGTTGTGGCCCAGGTTCAGCGTCTCCAGGCTCTGCGTGTGCGGCTGGAAACGGGAAAATCCGTGGAAAATCCATGGGAATTCAGGGAAAAATTAGATAAATCCATGGAAAAAGCCATGGAAAAGCCATGGAAGATCCACACGCCCTCGTTCCCCACCGCGTTGTGGCCCAGGTTCAGCGTCTCCAGGCTCTGCGTGTGCGGCTGGAAACGGGAAAATCCATGGAAAATCCATGGAAAAGCCATGGAAAATCCATGGGAATTCATGGAAAAATTAGATAAATCCATGGAAAAAGCCATGGAAGCTCCATGGGAAATCTGGGATTTCCCAAATCTGGGAAAAGCCATGGAAGCTCTGCACGCCCTCGTTCCCCACCGCGTTGTGGCCCAGGTTCAGCGTCTCCAGGCTCTGCGTGTGCGGCTGGAAACGGGAAAATCCATGGGAAATCCATGGAAAAGCCATGGAAAATCCATGGGAATTCAGGGAAAAATGGGAAAATCCATGGAAAATCCATGGGAAACCCAAGGAAAATCAGTGAAAACCAAGGAAGATCCATAGTAAACCCACGGAAAATCCATGGAAATCAATGAAAAACACATGGAAATCAATGGAAAACCAAGGAAAATCCATGGAAAACCAATAGAAACCAATAAAAAAGCAAGGAAAACCCATGGAAATCAATGGATAATCGATGAAAATCTACAGAAAACCCATAGAAAAGTCAAGGGAAATCCACGGAAAAACCATGGAAAACCCAAGGAAAATCCATGGAAAACCCACGGAAATCGATGGAGAATCAATGAAAATCCATGGAAAACCCACGGAAATGGATGGAGAATCAATGAGAATCCATGGAAAACCCAAGGAAAATCCATGGAAAACCCACGGAAATGGATGGAGAATCAATGAGAATCCATGGGAAACCCAATGAAAATCCATGGAAAACCCACGGAAATCGATGGAGAATCAATGAGAATCCATGGAAAACCCATTGAAAATCCACGGAAAACCCATGGAAAACCAATGGAAACCAAAGAAAATCCATGGAAAACCCAATAAAACTCAACAGAAAATCCTGGGAATCCACAAATCAACACCAAAAACCCAACGTTTTTCCCGGAACGCGGCGCCGGAACGCCGGGAATGCCGGGAAGGGGTGGGAATTCTCACCAGGGTCATCCCCAGGTAGGCCATGCCGGCGTGGCTCAGCTGGTTGTTCCACAGCACCAGCGTCACCAGCCCCCGGCGCTGCTCCCGCAGCCCCTCGCAGATGTAGGCCAGGCCTGGAAAAACGGGAAATCCCGGCAAATCCCGGGAAATCGGCACTTAGGACAGGCCTGGAAAGGTGGGAGTAGCCAGGAAATCCCGGGAAATGGGGATTTAGGACAGGCCTGGAAAAACGGGAAATGCTGGGAAATCGGGACCTAGGATAGGCCTGGAAAATCCCAGGAAAACCTGGGAAATCGGGATTTAGGACAGGCGTGGAAAAACGGGAAATCCCGATTTAGGTCAGGCATGGAAAAGTGGGAATAGCCTGGAAATCCCAGGAAATGGGGATTTAGGACAGGCCTGGAAAAACGGGAAATCCTGGCAAATCCCGGGAAATCGGCACTTAGGACAGGACTGGAAAGGTGGGAATAGCCAGGAAATCCCGGGAAATCGGGATTTAGGACAGGCCTGGAAATGTGGGAATAGCCAGAAATCCCAGGAAATCAGGATTTAGGCCAGGCCTGGAAAAACGGGAAAACCTGGGAAATGGGGATTTAGGTCAGGCCTGGAAAATCCCAGGAAAATCCTGGGAAATCGGGATTTAGGACAGGCCTGGAAATGTGGGAATAGCCAGGAAATCCTGGGAAACCGGGACTTAGTCCAGGCCTGCAGAAACGGGAAATCCCAGGAAATCCTGGGAAATCAGGATTTAGGCCAGGCCTGGAAAAACGGGAAATCCCAGGAAATCCCAGGAAATCAGGACTTAGGACAGGCCTGGAAAATCGGGAATCAGGGATTCCCAAACCCATTCCCACCATTCCCAAGCCCATTCCCACCATTCTAACCCCACTCCAACCCCATTCCCGGCTCTCCCATCCCCATTCCCAGAATTCCCATTATTTTTCCCACCGGAGTCCATGAGGTGGCTGTTGCGCAGGCCCGGCCCCGTTCTCACGCCCCAGAATTCCCGTTTTTCCCAGAATTCCCGTTGTTTTTCCCACCGGAGTCCATGAGGTGGTTGTTGCACAGGCCCAGCCCTGTTCCCAGCCCCCGTTTTTCCCGGAATTCCCGTTGTTTTTCCCGCTGTTTTTCCCACCGGAGTCCATGAGGTGGTTGTGGCTCAGGCCCAGCCCCTTTCCCACACCCCGGAATTACTGCAGGCAGCTGGGCTGGGGAGAAATATGGGAATTGGGATCGGGATTTGGGATTTGGGAATGGGATTGAAAGGGATTCCAACCCCCCAGGTACTGCAGGCAGCTCGTCTGGGGAAAAATGGGAATTGGGATTGGGATTTGGGATTTGGGATTGGGAATGGGATACAGAGAGATCCCGACCCCCCAGGTACTGCAGGCAGCTCGTCTGGGGGGAAAGATGGGAATTGGGATCGGGATTTGGGATTGGGAATGGGATTTGGGATTGGGAATGGGATTGGGATGAATTCCAACCCACCCCAGGTACTGCAGGCAGCTCGTCTGGGGGGAAAGATGGGAATTTGGGGGGAAAATATGGGATTGGGAATGGGATATGGAGAGATCCCGACCCCCCAGGTACTGCAGGGAGCTGGGCTGGGGAGAAATGGGATTTGGGGGAAAATATGGGATTGGGAATGGGATTTGGGGGAAAAATGGGACTGGGGAAAAATGGGATTGGGGAAAAAAATGGGATTTGGGGTTTGGACTGGGATGGATTCTGACCCACCCCAGGGACTGCAGGGAAAAAATTCAGGATTTGGGATCAGGACACGGATCCAGAAGGATCCTGGGGAAATCTGAGCAGGAAATCTGGGAAAACATCCCAGAATTCCAGAGGAGAATTCGGGAATTCAGGATGGATCCGGGAGCAGAATTTCCAAACAAAAAATTCCCAAACAATCCCTGACAATTCCCAAAGAGTTCCCAAAGAATCCCTGACAATTCCCAAACAATTCCCAGACAAGTCCCAAAAAAATTCCCAAACAATTCCCAAAGAATCCCTGACAATTCCCAGACGATTCCTAAAGAATTCCCAAAAAGTCCCTGAAAATTCCCAAAGAATTCCCAAACAAAAAATTCCCAAACTATCCCAGACAATTCCCAAAGAATTCCAGAAAAATTCCCAAAAAATCCCAGACAGTTCCCAAACAATTCCCAAAGAATCCCTGACAATTCCCAAAGAATTCCCAAAGAATTTCCAAACAATTCCCAAAAAACTCCCAACAATTCCCAAACAATTCCCAAAGAATTCCCAAACAAAAAATTCCCAAACAATCCCTGACAATTCCCAAATAATTCCCAAATAATTCCCAGACAAGTCCCCAAAAAATTCCCAAACAATTCCCAAAGAATTCCCAAAAAATCCCTGACAATTCCCAGACGATTCCTGAAGAATTCCCAAAGATTTCCCAAAAAATTCCTGACAGTTCTCCAACAATTCCCAAAAAAATTCCCAAAAAATCCCTGACAATTCCCAAAGAATTCCCACATAATTCCCAAACAATTCCCAAAGAATCCCTGACAATTCCCAGACAATCCCTGCCAATTCCCAGCCCCTCCGGAATTCCGGGAGCGTCCCGAGGGGGTTGGGAAAGAGCCGGAAAAACATCCTGGGGATAATGGGGATAATGAGTGGGGTAATTAGTGGGCTCATTAGGGTCATTAGCGTAATTAGGAGAACAACCCTGCCTTTGTGGGGCTCATTAACCCTTCGTGGGCAGGAATTTTTTGGGAATTTGGGGCATTTCAGGAAGGATTCCCAGGAATTTTTGGGAATTCTCAACTTCCCCAAAAAATGGGGGGAAAATTCAGGAATTTTGGGGATTTTTTGGGAAAAAAACCTCAGGGATTTGGGGGAAAATCTCAGGGATTTTGGGGAATTTCAGGGAATAATTCCTGGGAATTTTGGGAATTTTTGGGAATTCTCAACTTCCCCAAAAATTTGGGGAAAAAATTCAGGAATTTTGGGGAAAAAAACTCAGGGATTTGGGGAAAAATCTCAGGGATTTTGGGAATTTCAGGGAATAATTCCCAGGAATTTTTGGGAATTCTCAACTTCCCCAAAAATTTGGGGAAAAAATTCAGGAATTCTGGGGAAAAAAACTCAGGGATTTGGGAAAAAATCTCAGGGATTTTGGGAATTTCAGGGAATAATTCCCAGGAATTTTTGGGAATTCTCAACTTCCCCAAAAA